GCTGTGACTGAAACAGGACTTCAGGACGAGCATCCTGATGATGAGAAGGTAGAGACCGACCTACTTCCATGACAGCCTCCACTTCCTGGATGTGGTTGCTTATATTATTGTGGCACATATCTGGATCCGTTACCGGTCAAGGCAGCATACAAGGCATTCCACGGCAGACCAGACAGAAAGCAAGCAAGCAAGCAAGCGAGTGACCGACCCAAGGTCACAACGGAATTTCATTGCCTGATCAGGACTAGAACCTTGATATCCAGTTGCAATCCCACATGCTAATCACTGCCTCACACTAGCTTTCATTGTATTAAGTGCTGGAAAAGGAGAAGCACCTGATTTGATTAAAGCAGATGGAAGTTTCATTTTGGTTTGTTTTCACCCAAATTGACAAAATTCTTCTTATTCGGGATGGATTGATGTTGAAATCGAAACTCTGAACAGGGGAGAAAGCAAACCTGATTGGTCCCTGCAGGCCCAGGCCCTTTGAGTATTGTTTAACTCTCATCGCTGGATTTTGAATATCCATATATTCATCCCTATTAGTGCTGACTTAGAGCTGACACCTCTTTATTTCTGGGAGGCTTAACATGGATGTGCCAGACACCTACAGCGTGGTCCCCGCCACTCTGGGAAGAGTTGTACCTGTTGAATTCGGCTAGTGCAAAGGAGGAAGAATTTCCTTGTGGTGTGTTTTTGAAAAACGTACCATCACTGGAATATGTCTCTTATGTTGAAACCAGGAGCTAGTCTCCAGAATAGCGAGTCAAAGCTTTAATGCCAATAACCTTGACACGAGAGAGTTCAAATGGTTGCTGTTTTATTTAGCTAAATAAAAGGCGGACAGAAGTCCTGCCTCCAAGTATTGGCAAGAACAACCATGTCATGCAGAGGAAGACTAGGACTTCTATAACATTGGTTACACAAGGGAATGGGAAGAGAGATTGATGGAAATGGGCCGTTCATGACCTGTTAGCAGAACGGATGGGATTACAAAGGAATCCAAACTTTATCAGAGTGGGAATCACAGAAGGGCAAGAATTTTACAACAGGGTGGGTGTGGTTTCCCTGGCCACCTCTGCTATCCCAAACAGGACAGCCCAGAGTAATAGATGATGTAGTTGTAGCCCAACAACAGCTGAAGGGCCACATGTCGCCTATTCTAAAACTTAGTCCTGTATACATTAAAAAACCCCTCAAAGCCGACTAGTTTATTTATTTATTTATTATTTTCCTTCCCTCCAATGAAACAAGGATCTAGACTTTTGAGACTGAGGCAGGTCAGAGATATCTCATACATTCTTTTCACAAACTTCAGCAAACAACCACTCACTGGACTCCTTAGGATACATGGATACCTGTTAAATTTATTTATACATCTGATTTATTTGCTTGCAATGTACAGTAGGTTTGCAGCATCTGTCCCATAGCTGTTCACTCTCTCTCTTTTCTGTCTATCTATAATAATTACAAATAGGTTCTTTCTAAAAAGAAAACTCAGATCCACAGGTTTATGTCAGAGGCAAGCTGTGTGTGACATCTTCTCCCTCAAGGTAGGCAGAAAGCAGCAGCAGGAGAGACAAAATGAGATGAGAAAAGGTTGGCAGGGAGAACGATTATACAACCTGACCGTTTTTCCACCCCTGTTCAGAGCCCTCCCAGGAACACTTTTCATACATTAAAAACACTTATTATGGATCACCTTTACCTGTAACCTTTGGCCCCTTTAGGTCTCTGATTCAGTACTCAGTCAATAACCATTAAAAACAAAAGCTGTAGATGTTTTTTTTTTTTAAAGCAAGTGCAATATTTGACATTTTTCCTGTTGGGAAGATGAAAGGGCATAAGAAGCACATGGAAACTTCTGCCATGGAGACACCTGCCTCAGAGGCACACCAGTGACTGTGGTTTTACAAGATCATTATAAAAAGACAGTATTTTTAAAAACCTAGATTGTTTCAGAGAGACATGAGTTAAAAATTAACATTACTGAAATATGGTAAGGAAAAAGAGGATTAGAGTCCCATTTATTCATATTTAGACTGGAGGCAGTCTGTTGTGGTGGGTAGAGCAATATACAAGAAGTCCAAATCCCTGCTCAGACATGGAAATTCACTGCGGAGGAGCACCGGTAAAAACAGACTCCTTAAACATCTCACAGACCACAGAATCCCTACTAGGGTCGCTGTAAGGTAGATGTGACTTGACAAAACATAATCTCAAAATCAGTGGGTCTACTTTAAATATGACTAAACCTGGATTCAAATATATTGCTTCCAAACCTCCTATTTAATACTTTCATAAAGTTTAAGATATTCCAAAATCTAATAAATAGATTCCAACAAACTAAGGTTTAGCTAGCCAGCCAGACAGAGAGACATTCAAATAACCTCTGTTCATAAGTATGTACATTTGTATGCAGACACTCTGCTTCCTTAGTCACAGCTTAGTTTTTGCAAATTGCTTCTGGCAACCGGCATCCCTGTTACGTGATGCAAGAAACGTATCAATTACAATTTTACAGCCTCATTTCCTTTGGACCATATTCTTGTTACTTAATAAAATAAGATGGGAGGTTTAAAGGGAGATCACATCTGAGTACAACTTTAATTTCTTCTGAAAGTTCTTTTCAGAATTGTACAACAATTGACATAGCCATGAAATATGTTTGATGTTAATGCCATTTCTTATCAGGCCAACAGCTTATAACTTGTCTAATGACATACTTTCCTAAAATCCTTGTTGGTATGGGTAATAGTCTGCGAGTACATTTTGAAATATAGGCACTCATTATGACATTTCTCCAAAGCCCAAGGAGAGAGAGAAAGAGAGGAAGTATGAATGCACACATGCATGCATGGATGGTCTGCTATACCAATCCATATCAATGAACCATTTCTAACAGGTTTTGTCTTCACCAAGAGGAGCAGGTCTTTTGTAAATTTAATGAGTCTTTATTGCCGGTTTAAGACCAAGCACGCTCCGTGTGAGGCGAAGAACCAATTCACCCAGGATCAGGAGAGTGTACCGCCCAACTCTCAAATAAAGACAGATGCACAAGAGACAGTAGTGATAGAAAAGGAATTAAGTAAAATAGAAATAAAAGAAGAGACTGAAGGGGGTGCAAATCAGGTGGTAAAGGAAGAGGATGGGGTGGAGGCAGAAGCATGTTGGGGAAGAGAAGAGAAAGGAGAGGAAAAAGAAGAACTTGTAGAATTGATCCAAGAAGACCCTTGGACAGGAGAGTGGGCAGAATTCAAAGTGCCTCGTGAGTACGCTGAAAGGGAACGGAGACGACAGATGCATAGAAAGCCACCTTACTGGGGAGAGGCTGAGGAGCGAAAGCAAAGGAAGGCGTACAAAGAGGGAAGAACAGAGGAGAGAAAGGCAGAGATATACAGTGGGTCCAGAGAAATCCCCTTCAGACCCCGCCAGAGAACGATGCATGGCTCAATAAAAGGGGAACACCAGGGAAGTTCAACAAATCCACAAACTTGAAGTGGGCTGAGAACACGCCTGAGTTGATGGGTGCTAGACCCAAATGGTCCCACAAAGTTAACAGTTATTCCCTGTTGTACTGTGAAGAGATATGTACTGAGTTTTAATAATGTTAAGACTTATGATTTATTGTTAAAGTTGGATGATGATAAACAAGACTCACAAATTGATGAAGCTATGTTAAACAATAAACCGGTTTTATCAGAAGAATTGGGTGTGACGACTACTTCTTTGGATAAAGTAAAGAAAAAGGAGGTAGATGACAAGCGACAAGATCACACGCTGAATGTGATCACCTGAGTTTTAATAATGTTAAGACGTATGATTCATTGTTAAAGTTGGATGATGATAAACAAGACTCACAAATTGATGAAGCTATGTTAAACAATAAACCGGTTTTATTAGAAGAATTGGGTGTGACGACTACTTCTTTGGATAAAGTAAAGAAAAAGGAGGTAGATGACAAGCGACAAGATCACACGCTGAATGTGATCACAACAATAGTATGGTTCACAATAATAGAATTACTCTTCCTGGGAAGATTCAGATCATCCTTTCCCAACCCCCCACCCACTGCAGTTGTGAGGACTGCAACTCAAGATCGGGTGCAACAGAGAGCTGGGATGAGAACAGCCTCCTTCCTCATCCAGACCGCTAGGTTCTTCAGCCATTTTAGCCTTGGTTCTGTGCAATGAGAAAATCTGGAAAGTCATTGCTTAGGAAACTGATTTTTAAAAAAACTTCAACGTCGGGAATCATATTCTCAATTTCTCTCACTCTCATTTCATTTTTTTATCCACAGTTCTTCTCCATCTTTGCGTTTGCCACATGTGGCAGCTACACCGGAGAATTCTGCCTGAGCGTGGAATGCCCCAACAAGAATGAAAGTGATCTCAGCATAGAGGTGGAGTTTTCCTATCCCTTCCGGTGAGTTGGTTTTTCCCCCCTTAGCTGTGTTTTACTCAGGAGCCCAGTTTGGTCACGCTTTAAAGCGTACGGCGCCCATGGGCATTGGACGAACCTCCTAAACCCATCCCTTCCGTTTTCTCCTTAATCCCAGAAACACAACCTTTGGGAGAAGGGGAAGACTGGTGTGCCAGGGTAGCCTTTCCGCATGAGCCGGAAGCCTGGTTTGGTGAGGGAGGGGTTTGGCTCTGCTGGAGAGGCTACTTGGGTGGAACATCCTTTCCTTTCTTCAGACTGTTGAGTTTCTGTGTTTAAAAGTATGTTCAAGAGCGGTGGGATGAACACCCTTCCCTCAACACATGCTTTAAACTACAATTGAATAGAGCTTTAATTGAAATCCACCATGAAACTAATGACTGACGGGTTAAGGGGGCAAGGTGTTCATGCAGAAGCTGCAGTCTCAGGGCAAAGAGCGGGAAGAATCCGCCTCTCCAAGGACCAGACCATGATCTGTGCACAGAAGGTAAGAAGAGATCTTACAAGAAAACAGCAGTTAATCAGATGATGATGAAGATACTACTAGTAGTTGTTGCTGTTAGTATTGCTATAAGTACTACTCCTTATTACACTTTCCCTGGCCATCTTTTCTACAGAAATCTTTGTTTGCAGTTGTCTGCACGCATCCTCTCTGTGTGCCATAATTAATAGGTGGATCAGGGCCCTGATCCTTCAGCAGCTTTTGAAAGTGTACTAGAAACAAGGTGTCGCCTTGGATTCCTGTTGGGTGGGAGTGATGCTAATTCAGGGTGTGTGGGGCATGGGAGGGTCTCCTCTTCATTCAGAACATCAGTTAACTCAGCGTAAACATTGCAGTTTTTAAAAACAAATCTCTTAGTTTCATGTTTCAAAGAGACAGGAACAGATTGGCTTGCCTGGAGTCATTTTTTCCCCAGACTCCGGCTAGAATGTTATAAAGCAAAAATGGGCATAGGACAGGCTGTCAGAGGTTGCGGGACCACAATCGGCCGCAGCCAACATAGCCAGTGGTGAGTATGAACAGTCCAGCAACATCTGGAAGGCATCACTTTGCCCACCTGTGTGCTACACTACAGGATAACCCCAGGGACAACAAGAGATGGGCCTTGCCTGTGCCTCTCAAGTCTTTATTTGAGCTATTATTCCTTTTCCCTTCGATCCATTGAAAGAAGTGAGGACAAGGATCTTCAGACCTAACTTTTCCTAGGGCTCCAATGGTCCTTGCCCTGAGACTAGCCAGAGAAGAGTGAATTAGTCTTGCTCAATTTGCATAGAAGAGCCCTGATGTAACAGATCAAGGGTTCGCCTGGTCTAGCATCCCATTCCCAACAGTGGTCAGCTGTAAACTCAGGAAAGCCCATCAGCAGGGCATGCAGATGAGGGTCCTCCTCTTCAGCGGGTGGCCTTCAAGGGCTCACTTTCTCTGAGCAGAAGGGTTCTGTTTAGCTATCAGCCAGAATCCTGGCAAATATATAAACTAGAATAACTCTAGCAGCATAAATACTAGCAGCAGATTGTTGTAAATTTAGAACTTTACATAGGCATTTATTACTGCGGGCCAAGTCATGTGACTGAGGTACGATAGGAAATGCCTATGCTGACTTCCCTATTTGCCTCTGAAATTTATGCCAGTGGGGTTAACTTGCAGGATTCTGGCCACTATCTCTAACACATGTTTTTATACTATGATCTAACCTCTTCCACATATTAGTTCAAATCTTTTTTTTAACCCATCATCTCATGTAGAGGTGGGATAGGTTATCACATCAGGTGAAGGCAATGTCTATAAAAATGATCAAATATTTATATGAAGATGTACTTTTTGGTCTGTCCTGAGCCAACATCGATTTCACTGAATGATTTCCATTTCTAGTGCAATTGGAAAAGATGAAAGATCTGCCTCTTTGTGTTTCTGTATTGTTCACGAACCCCTATCCTGATTTTCCTTTAGGAATACAGAGGAAACAGGCCATTTGTGCACCCTGGGTGGGTGGGTGAGAGAGAGAGTTAGGTTGCAAAATCAAACATTTCTTGGAACAACATTTCCAGTGGCTTGATGCAGAATTGAAAACCCCAACCACCCACAGAGTACATGCAACTTCCCTGTAATCGCTGCCCCTCCCGTGTAGACCCCTCTAATACCTTTTAACATTCTCCTCTCCTCCTAGGCTTCACCAGGTCTATTTTGATGCTCCTGCTTGTAAAGGGACGGAACAGGAGAAGGTTTTCTTGATCGGAGACTACTCCTCCTCTGCCGAATTCTTCGTCACCATTGCGGTCTTTGCCTTCCTCTACTCCCTTGGCACCATTGTCGTCTACGTCTTCATGCAGGACAAATATAGGGAGAACAACAAAGGCCCCATGATTGTGAGTGTCTGACACAACACTGTACAATTGGAGACCGATGGGACTGCACGGGGACCTATTTAAAGAATAATTTTTAAAAAAACCTAGAAGTGCCTTATGTAAGGTCTTCTAATTCTCCTCAACAAATCATTTAGTGACAAGAAAATGGTAAGCGGAGACACTCTGGAAGTGTGTTACTTGGGCTGTATCATGAAACAGAGCACCATCAAAAGTGCCTAATATTAAGAGCAACAAATCTTTTGACACAGGAAAGGGAAGAAAAGCATTTGAGTTTTCTACATCACACCCTCAAACTTGGGTGTTGTTCATGACCATAAACATTGGAAATTGATAGCCAAAGCAAAGATGGGGAAGATTTGACCAATGGGCCATGTTTGGCTCCATAGTTTGTGGGCCTTGCGGGCACAGCCTTTCTCCTCTTCAAGGGAGATTATAGGATAATGAATGGATCCATGGCCTCAAGGCTTTCGCTCAGTCGCCTTGTTCCTCCCTTGTCTTCCCCAGACATTGAAGGTGAGAGAGGACACTCAGCTTTTACTTCCAGGCACTAGCTAAGGGTCTGATGTCAGGACTCAGACAGTATCCCACCCCTTGGGATACAGCCAGCCAAGACAGGATTGTGGTGGGTAGAAACCAGATCCCTCCAGGTTTTCCCACTCCTGTTCTAGATTACGTGAAATACAGTACAAAGGTTGAATGAAGCTTTGTTCACCTGTTTTTGAAAATCAACATATTGTTGGATTATAGTCCACTTGTGGCGCACCAAGTAGGAGGCAACCACCAATGACGCCTGGGGAAGGAGTCCATTGGATAAACCGGTGGTTCTCATTCTTTGGCCCTCCAGATGTTTTGGACTTCAGTACCCAGAAGTCCCAGCCAGCACAGCCAAGGGCCAGAAATTCTGGGAGTAGAAGCCCAAATTATTTGGAGAGCCAAAAACTGAGAAACAAAAGGGATAAATGAGCTGATTTTCCGTCCATCTGGGACTTCAAAACCAATGGAGGCATGTTAAGCCCACCCAATGGAGTTTATGCCTGTGGTGAGATATCATATATTTTAATTCATTTGCTTATTTATTTGTATACCACCTTTCGCCCTATGTAAGGAACCCGAAATGGTTTGCAACATTTGAAACAGGCACATGAAGCATAATAAATCTATCAATAAAAATTAATTATACAAAGAAGAATTAAAGCCTATTAAAGCATCATGAAAACAAATAACTGTTAAAATACTATAACTGCCAACCACCATCCCATACTGTGTCTGAATTTAGATGCCAAATACCTGCTTTAAAAATACCAGCCAGGAGATTTCTGCATAGCTAGTTGCCTGACATTTGCTGCCAACAAACCCTTTTAAAAATACATGTTTTAATATTTCTTAATTTCTTTTTATATCATGATTTTAATGTTCCTTTATTTAGCAAGTTTAAAACTTTAATACCCAGCCACCTTGGGCCCTTTTGAGGAGAAAGCTGGAGTTAACCTATTTTAAATAAATAAAAATAAAAATAAAAAAATAAAATATCTGTGTATATATTGTTTTTCAGTCTTGTTCCTTTTTAATGATTTGTGAGCCATCTTGAGTCCCACTGCTGGCAGAAAGGTGGCATAAAAATGGAATGAATAAATCCATCTTTAGGGGGCGCTATAGGATCCTACGCTTCAAGGCCAGCCCAAGACGGTTTGGTGCCTGAGGCAGAGTAGCAAATGGAAACAATTCCCCTCATGCTCTCCACGTTAAAGTTCATCATAGTCAAAACTAGAAAGATATTTTTACATAGGGAAAGGGAAAAAATCTCTGAAGAAACATTTTGCATATTTTGAGAGAAAATATAGTAGTAACAAGTCAAACAACTAGCAATCTGCTAGTTTTTCATGGCACTCAAAAATAAATAAATA